TCTCTCTCTCTCTCTCAAAGTCTCTCTGGGTTAAATGCCGCCTGCTTTTACTCCCTCCGATGGCCGCGCTCAAACGGGGGTGCATATCGGGTGAGGAGAACACGTGCTTGTTCCGATGCACGCACTCAGCTGAACACCGGCACGAGAACAATCGTCGAGTAAACTTTTCTCGAGAGAGAGAATACGAAGATCAGGGAAGGGGATCGCAAAGTGAGTCCCGAGGCAGTGCATGTCGCTCCTAACAGATTTATTAGAAAATTGATTTGAAATCGAGTAAAAAGCTGAATAAATTATAAAACGTTAAGCTATTTTCATATAAAAAAATAATTATAGAACAAGGTCCAACTTTTGCAACGCAACAATGGCAGTTTAAAATTATAGCTGGAAATGCGATGGGAAGCATGCTTTATGTCGTAGGCTAATTAAGTCCAAGTTTCATCACAAATTCGAACGTGTTCTCTTTCCATGTAAAATCAGACTCTGGTCTTTAAAAAAATATATCACACAAAGATCGCCTAAATATAGACTGTTGGTGCAAGTGCTGTTAGCGAGAACCCGTGAAGGCTGGTACGGCACAAAAAGGGGGTGGCCAGCACCATGTCTCCCGAGTTGGCGATGTTTTTTAAAAACCACACCAGGTAATTATTTGAGGCCGAGTTGACCTAGGGGAGGCCTAGGACCGGTTCAAACAATCGTTACCGTTGTGAGCGGGAGTCGAACTCGGGTGGCTGAATTTGGAGAGCAGTGCACGGACCAACACACCACCGCTCCCCACACACACACACGCCAACACACCACCGCTCCCCACACGCATACGCCAACACACAGACCGCATCCAAAAAAGGAATTTCTTTACTCAGAAAATATTCCTTCCGTTTTGTAAATAATGTTTCACATGGACACTGGAAGCAGAAAATTTCATAATTTTTAGGGCATTAAGAAGCCAGTCTGGGCAACACAAATGATCACTAATTGTGCCGAGTCTGGACCTCACCTTGAGTGCGAACCCATATCCTCTCGGCTTCAGATCACGTGTGCCCCTTGTCCTACATCAAAAGGGCCCTGCGTTTGAACCCAGAAATAAACACTCAATTTATTCCCGTTTCCAGACTCCACGCAATCAATATTCCGCAAACACGAACCCGAAACACCACGGCGTTTTCTGCCTTAACGAACGGTAAACGTCACGCAAATAAAAAAGCCGGGCACGTGCACCGGCGCGCAACTTCTGTCGAGGTCGCTCTCAGTGACGATCACACCCCGCCAGATGACTTTCGGGATTATAAAAAAAAGATTCCTCATCGCGCCCCCCAAACCGACACTCGCGACTCCAGTAGGAACCCCGCAATCCCAGAGCCACTCCCGACCCGCGCACAGCTACAACTCCAGTGTGCCCCATGAAGATGGGACGCACGCGCACACGCAGCCGTGCGTGGCGCGTGCCAAGCGGGGCGTGTTCGGTGACGATGTACAAGCAACGGGACAGGGTCTTCAGAGCTCGACAGACCGGCAGGCAGGGTTCGCACGTGATCAGGAGTCAATGCTGTTAAGAGTTCCCCATCCGTGACCTTCGGTCGAAAGCCAAATGCCCACTGACAATCGTGCCACCAACATTGTAGTGCGGCGTCACGAGAACACGGGAATTGTATCGTCTGAATTTGCCTTTGTTAGAGCTCCTGAGCAGAAAAAAACGGAGCCCGTTTCTCAACTGCCAAAGTAACGGCGAGAACATGTCAACACTACCCCACCTACATACGGCGATGCACAAATAGCAAACAAATATACAGCGCTGGGTTTTTTTTACACTTAAGCTCCCTACAGTGAGTTATCTTCAATCTGTGCATACAATTTACATCACTCAGCACTGCTCTGCAAGTACCGTGAGCAGGTGAACGTGCGTGGGGGGGCAAGGCCGATTGTTAATTTGCCACGTTTTAGCCGTATTCTTTGCGTCACGTTATACTCGTTTAAAAATAATAATCGGTGACCAACAGCTTCCGCAGCGTTGTGGGTACGGCACCGATGGCGTGTTGGGCGAACCGTCTCCCTCGTGGCGTTGGGTGGCCCGAGGTCGGAGAGGTCACCATTGGGTCCAAAGCTCATCCCAACCTCCGCCACCAATGACATAACCCGCACTCATTCCGACCGCCCGCGCGTTCGCACAGCCGACAAACACCACGGCCCACCTTCAGAGTCGACTCCCGTTGTGGTGTGGCGGCACGAACCTGAACGCAATTTCACCAGCAAATACCCAACAGTCCTTTTCCCGAATTTATTGCCAGCGTGTGGCGCAACAACCGGAGCACACGTGGATACGATGGTGGTGACGATGGCGGTGAGGATGGCGACGATGACGACGATGGAGCCGGTGGGCGAGTGTTTTGTCAGGCGGCGAGCTCCGAGGTGGGCTGGTCGAGAGGCTGCCAGTGGCACGCCATGATGGCGTGGTACAGCTCTTCGCTTTGCTCCATCAGCTCCAGGTTGGCTTCGTCGACGTCCAGTTTGGGCTCGGGGTCTGCTCGGTTGCACACATTGAGCCACGGTGGCGTGCAACCGGGAGTCCACAAACAGGGGGGGCAAGGGGGGGGGGGAGCAAGGTGGGGGAGGGGGGGGACGAGGGGGACAGGCCACCGGGAGTGACGGAAGAGACGAGGGCAGGCAGGGAAGGGATTGTGGGAGTCGGGGGCATAGTGCGATGCGGAGTGACGAGATGAAGAACAACGGAGGAGCGGTTGGGGTGGGGAGAGGTTGGAAATGGCAAAGGGAACGGGGGAGGGGAAGGGAATGAACGACCATAGCCTTGTCAAAAGTTTTTTTTTTACGGAGGCGTTAATAAAACAAAAGATGTAAAATGGTGAATCAAGTACTTTTCTTCTCCTGCAAAGAAACACTACCACCAACCAGAATACGAACAGCTTGACAAATTTGATATTAGTTTTGGAAGTACATGATTGTGTAACGGCACATTTAATGAAAAAAGTGGAAAATGCACTGCTGCTCTCCACTAGAGTGCACATCGTGTAACTGCACTCTCTGTTCAAGAGCACAGTGTTTTGCACGTTCCATTATGCCACCATTACTTCTCAGCACTTAATGCATACGCTCAGTATGCACGACTCGCTCAACTGCGTCGCAACAGCGTGCGTTATTGTAATGCCCCTCCCCCCACCGTCGGTTAACATTTCAAAATCGTACGACCAAATAATGCAGTGCACGTCGCGCGCAACGTATTCCAGCACCGTTACGCGCATCAAGACGCCCTGCTGATTGTGAACTCGGTCAGAAGGACACAATTAAAAAACGCGGATGGGGACTCGCCCATCGTGCTTTTTGAGCGGGTGCCACTTTGTGGAAATTCAACAACGCACGTGGCTATGGACCCACTGGTTTCCACCTCGGTGGCTCAGCGCCAGCAATTGCGAGGAGCGCCAACCCCCCGATATACTCGTTTGGTAACGGGGCGACGGTGACCGACATTCGCGACACAGCCAAGGAGGCCCACGCATCGTCATGAGCGCGGCAACAGCGCTCGTGCCTCCCGCCGCTGCAGCGTTTGTTGCGCCAAGCACGTGGGAGCCTGCGCTCCGCGAGGCCGTGAGCTACGCCGCACTGCACGCTTATCACTTTAGAGACGCAAACCCGAAAAGCAAAATCGCTCTCACTTTTGTAGACACAAAGCCGGGCTTGTGTGGCTTGGGCGGTCTGACACACAATAGTCTGAAACCTTTGTTCGTTAAGCGAAAATTATTTGAAGCGGCATTCCGGCATGCCACTGCAGGGACATCGCTACAGAGCGTTTCGGCCGCACACCTGAAAGTCAATTTGAAGTATTTTTTTTGCTCGCTGGCGGAGCCTCAAACTCGCGTCGAAACGCCAGGCCGGGGCACATTCTAGGGCTGCTGCGGTATCGTAGTCGCAGTACGGTATTAGCTTCACGCTACGACGATTATCGCAATGTCTTTTCCAAAACTTTTAAAAGTGTTATTTTTTTCTTCGTGCTTTACCGTAATTCCAAGGCGCCTTCAAATGCAGTGCATTCAATATAAGTCTACCTAATCGTAACCATCCATAATGCATATGGTGCACATGCTGTCATTTATACAAGACACTAGTTCAAGTCACTATGAAAATCATGAAGTCACATAACCGCCATGCCTTAAATTATTCCGGATTTTTTTTTTAAAGCACGATTTGCATGGGTTAAACCCGTGCACTTGGTAATTCGTAACTATTTGATAAGAAAATAAACATATACAATTAAATAAGCAACGACAGCCATGATATAATGACAACCCTGATGCGATTCCAGGTTGTACCGCGTGTTGTTCAGAACGATGTCTGACAAGTCTCGAGCGAAACGACGCAAGGTTCATCTCGCCCGCCACAAACAGACATCCCGTTGCAGAAGCAGCTCCCGGACACGTCGAGCGAAACGTCGGACATTGTGCCAAACAACGTGCAGCACGACCCGAAACCACATCGGACGCCTGTACATCGCTAACGAGTGAAAACCTACGCAGTCGTTACGACGACATACCCGAGCGGTTATCGCGGGGGCCCCAGATTGATCGTGGCATCGCAGCGCCGCGGCAACCCTAAGTTCGCACGTCCGGGAGCTATTTGTTTTTGAGTTGCGTCATCGTTTAAAGTGCAAGCGACCAGCCTGGCCCCGCGCGGATGAGCAGAGTCGACGGCAGACATAACACAAACACACCGACTGCCCTAAAGCGACCTGACGTGACGACGGTCGACCACGGGTGTAATGAGCACGAGGACTGCGCAATAAATTCGGACGCCCTTTTTTCATTTTCACTGCTTCAGTGTTGGAGCTTTATTTGTGTCGGTCTGCACAACGAACAAACAAATGGGGAAATAAAAGTAAAATGTCCCAACCCCCCCACCCCCTTCCGCCCCCCACCCCCTCCCGTTGTGCACACCCGCACTGCCGCCACGACACTCACAAAGACCGCGCGGGTACACAAGCACGTTCACGCACGATGTCATGCAATGATTTCTAGGGTTTATTTACAAAGCCATCAAACTAACCTTCCAAGGCATCGTCTCCCAGATCTTCATAACACTGTCAACAACAAAAACCCAAGGCAAGCACAGTGTTATTAATACAGAACGTCGTTATCGTCGTCGTCATTGTCAATCAATACAATTAATATTGATTGTCGAGCTCACGATTACAAGAATCGGATTGGGTGCGTGCGAGTGTGCGTTAACGTTTGATTTTGACATGTCGCGTATAAGGGGGTTCTCGCGTGACCGCTCCAGCTAATAGAGGTCACTGCATTCACCAAAACGTGACCAAGACAATCGATTCTTGCATCGTGCCGTGAACCCGAATGAACCGCGGCCATTCACTGATCGACAAGGGGGCAGAATCATGACACCTCTAATCATACTCATCATTAACCATTGGTATGATCTTTATAAGGCATTTAATTAAAACTACCATCAATAGACAAAGTATAGATAATCCAAGCTGACAAGCCACTCCATTAAGGGAGCCTCCGCTTAGTTCGAGGCGACTGCACAGATAAATGCACGCACAGAAACGCGTGAACGCTCAACACAAACGGACCCCTACGTGATGCGCGAGTTAACGGCCACGAAAACTCGGTCTGATGAACATGCACCCATCACGATGAATATTTGTTTAATTCATTTTGGCAACCCAGGTCTCATCTTGGTCTCTTGAGTTCTCACCAACCGCTTAAACAAAATAAACTTGATCGTTAAAACACGATTATGCAGTAGCATGTATAATGTTTTGAATATATATTAAAAACAAATCTCATTGGAAAGGTTTTCATTTCCAATCTTGTCGGGCTTTGTGGAAAGTTATCAAGTGGTTTAGGGCAGGTGTCAGCATCCTGCACCTCCGGAGCCGCATGGAGCTCTTCAAGGACTCTTCCTGACGTTATTTATTAAAGTGACCACCGTCTCGATATCTATTAAGGACATGCCTTGCGGTTCTTGAAATAGTTCTTTTTAAAATACTGGAATTCGAGAAAAAAAGTCTCTTCGTGTTATGTTGGTTGCCGACCCCTGGCTTAACGGTTTTGAATTATCCTTGGAATGAAAAGTAACATTTTCCAGGAATAGCAGCGAGTAGCTTATCACCTCTCATGGTACAATAACCATCCGCAACACTAAGATGGAAAAGCCCAAGAGTAAGAAGATCGCTTGGTGGTGGTTTAGAGACCCCAGCACTGAACCAGCACCGCGCCAAGGGCCTCTGGGGGGTTTGACTGTTGGGAAGCCGCCTGTGAATCAGGTGGATTCTCACGCGGAGTGAGCCTACGGCATCAGCACGGTCACAGTAAAACTAAACAACAATTTTTATTTTACCAGGTAAGGTCCACTGTGCTATACATCTCTTTTTCAGAAGTGACCTGGCCACAAATAATAGCTGAACTAAGTGGCGTATCACATGTAAATTTAATGCAGTCAAATGCTCTAAACGCATATTTCTAAATGTGGAGGTAGAAAACGGAGGACCCGGAGAAAAATTCATGCGACCACGGGGAGATACACAGGCAAACTCCAAATAATAAGGCATCGAGGGTTGCGATCGGACCCACGACCTCCTGCACACCAGGCGAGGTATTTAACATCTCGCCAATGCAGCGTCCACACATTGACCGCACGAATAAAAAAACCTATTCCATTAAATTTCATTTTTCGCTTTATTTTTTTGACGGTCAAGCAACACACATTTGCGTCTGTCGCAGAGTCGGTGGAAAAGTGCAGTGCCCATTTCGTGCAGATAAGAGGTAATTTTAAAAGTTCTCAGAAGTAGTTGCTTGATATCTCCTTCCGCAGGCTGTTCTCCAAAATGCGGTCATTCACTGCTGCGTGAGAGTTAGAAATATATTCGTTAGCTCATGACGCGATGCCTATAAAACTGGAGGGGGGGGGGGGAACCCACAGGAACTAATCTATTAATGCAGAAATTTGGTTGAAACAGGTATCAGCATTATTTCACAGTAACTGTTAGCTTCGAGCTCACCTTCCTTGAACGTGCGCTCACACTCAATGATTTACTCAACATCCTTCCACACCGATAGGAGCTGTGATTAGCTTTGAGACGTATTGTACACGTACAGCCCATTTTGTCGATCCACTGCTGGACGACGAAACTTCTCGGGTTATTTGACTATACTTCACCACGCTGGTCAATGCGGGTAGGTGAAGGTTAGGAGTGTATAGTGATCACAAAAGTCCTCCGCCAATGTTACGGTAATTTATCATTAAAACATGTCATGTATATGCCTTCCACAGTTTGCCAGTCACTAAGTTGACGTGACCAACGCATGCGGCGTGTGGTGTGAACGTGTGCTTCATTATACTGAGAAAAAAATAACCCCAATTGAAAGGGAACAACCCATTAGGTCAACGTGTTCTCAAAAGAGACAAAACGATTTTCCCATTGATCAGACCATTCGTACAAATACTAGCGAAACGTGTCAATGATAAGCTGAAAACATCCGGCTCACAGTGATGATGCACATCTCGCTCTATTTAAGACCGGGAGCAGGTAGAGATCCCTTTACAAACCTGGAAAATTCGCCTGATGATGCTGGATGTAATTGCCAGAGAAACGTCGTACTCAAATTGTAAATGTTGTGGGTTTACTCTCCAACACGCCGGTGTGATGAAGTAGAAACGAATTGGCACGTTCTGTTTACGTGACAAACCTTAGATCATTGGCTGCGTCAGGAGGTGGCGGGTTCAACGACACATTTATATTTACGCAATCTAACCCAAAGAAATTGTATGGATAATATTGATCGCGGAAGCCTACGTGTTGAACTCCACTAACACCATAGCACACAATCTAAACAAACACACAATGTTAAACTTACACACTTTCAATGTACACAATACTCAAACATTAACACACTATAAACATACACACATGCAGTGTATACATTATACACACAGGGCTGAAGTAGAAAGTAATTGGCACATTTTGTTCACACGACAAACCTGCGCCCGATTGGCTGTGACGGGTGGTGGCGAGTTAACGACACACTCATACTCTTTGACACACTCATACTTACACAATCTAACCTTAAAAACTTTCATTATCAATGTGTACGAATGTTGCGCAGTGGCAGTTGGCATTGCACCGATGACAGCGGCTCATTCAGTAACTTCATGGACTGCCCAGTGCCGGCACTGTTAGGCACCACACCAGGTGCACATGAAGGTTGACCTAGTGAAGGCCGATAGCAAGTTTAGACAACCAGTTGAACGGTGGTGTTGTTATCTGCGGCTGGGAATCGAACCTAGGTTGCGAGGTTCACAGCGGCAGTGTGCCGGCCAGTCAGTGAACGATGCGCTCCACCCCCGGCAATTAGATGAGTTGTCACGATTCTCTATCACGATCTGTTTCAAGAGTGTATTCGCTTCGTTTACACGTCTCATTTTAGTTTGTGTTTTGTCCTTTTTTTTTTACGTGCGATTAGCCTAGATGTAACCGAAGCCCATCGACTCGGTGTATTTTGTATAAATTGTAAAGAATCGGTTCTCACGCTCATGATTAAAGGTATGCATGGTGCGTGTAAGAATACATTTTAAACTAACATATCCATTGCTATATGCCGCCACTCTCCACAGCCACACAAAAAGATTTCGATCACCAGCTAAGGTTGGCACACCGCGTTCTCGCTCCGGCTGCCTGTCTCCCCAGTGCTGATGTTTATACGCTGCAGTAAGCCTCATTTAAGGCCGAGTCGACCTATGGGAAGCCCTGGACCGAGTGCAGATCAATTTCCACTGATGTTAGCCGTGGCTAGGAATCAAACTCTGGTTGTTGGGTGCATCCTGCAGTGCACTAACTACTGTGCCACATGTACACAAAGATCCCTCATATAGCCTTAACAAACTGTTGGGGCAAGTGCTATTAGCGAGTATCTAAGAAGGCCGGCATTGCAAAAGAGGGGGTTAGGTGGCCAGCACCACACATGGCCACCTTTGTCTCTCTCGTGGCATCACACCAGGTACACAATTGAGGTTGAGTCGACCTTGGGGATGCCCAGGACCGGTTCAAATAATCGTCGCCGGTCGTTTCCATAAGCGGGAATCGAACTCGCGTCGCCAGGTTCGTAGTGCAGCGTGCTTCCCGCTACGCTACCGCTACACACGGACGCATATACACACAAGCACATACATACATACACACACGCACATACATACATACACACACGCACGCACACGCACCCATATACACACCTGCATGGAGCTCTGGGTGTAGCCATACTGAGGCATGCTGTAGCTGTAGCTTCCTGTGTACTGGTCGTATCCCCACTGTGTGTAGTAGTTGGGGTAGGGCTGGTAGTACTGCCCGTAGCTGTAGCCTTGGCTCTGTCCGTACTCCTGCCGAGACCTCCCAGCACCGCTGGCACTGAGAGCACATGGGTTCAGGGTGGGCACAAAAAGACACACACACAGACATAAATACACCGGTATACATAATACATATTTTCGTGCTGCGCTACGAACCAGGGCACTCAAGTTCGATTCCCGCTCACGGCCAACACCAGTGACGATGAGCTAAACCGGTCCTGGGCCTCCACTAGGTCGTCTCAGCCTCAAAAGAGTACCTGGGAAAGTGCGTAAACATCGCCACTTGGGAGACAAAGGCGGCCGGGTGTGGTGCTGGCCACCCACCCCTTCATATGCCGTGCCGGCCTTCACAGGTGCTACTCACTAAAATCACTTGTCCCAATGTACATAAAACACACATATTGCAATGTTTACACACCACACCAGGTACTCATTCATGATGCAGTCGACCTAGGGGAAGCCCAAGACTGGTTCAGATGATCGTCATCGGTGTTGTCCCCGAGCGTGAACCGAACTCGGTTGCCAGGTTTGAAGCGCAGCGTGCTAACCGCTGCAGTACCACTCCGCATAAAGTGTATACACACACACACACGTGCGTAGACACACACATGAACATACAGTATGTGCACGCATATATGTACACAATCGCAGAGTGGAACGATATCACTGTTAAGTCAGTGCCCTTGGAGACAGGCTTGATAAAGAGAACCTATTTATAGCGCAAACACATGGAACCAACATGCAGACAATGAGTACACAAAATTCACACTTCTGTTTCCCGGATCAGCTGTGAAGATATAAACGGCCACAATAGCAGCGGTCAACATGTACAAGGGTGGACCATTCGACTCAGTGGCGGTGACGTGGCCGAGTGGCAAGTGCGTTCGCGGTTCGAATTTCGGTGGTCGCCCTGGCTATGACTGTGGGCATATCAACATTAAAACTACTACGCACTGTCTACCCTCACACTGGATGCTAAAGATCCCCTGGTGTCCCCCTCCCCCTGGCTTCCCCCCAGTTTGCTAATTACATTTCCCCTTCGCCCTTTCCCCTCCCCAATATAAATCTTCTCGTCCCTGCACGTGGTCCCCAATTGGGTGGGGTAGCGAGTCTAAGATCCTCCCTTCACGAGGTCCTGTCGCGCCGAATTCTAGTTGCTGTTCGAAGAGTTTGTGGTTCCCGTCTGTTTGCGATTGGCGTATTGTACCGGGCTCGCGTCGTGTTGCAATAAAAAAAACTCAAAATAAGAGATCCCCTGATGTCATTTATAAGATTAGGCCACTGTGTGCCGGGACCATCGTCCAAATTTGTCAAACGTGAAATATTACCCGCAATTTACTCGATCGGAACCTACATAGCGACCGTTGCTCCCCGACCACCCACTGCGAAAACTTGGCAAGACCCTCGTGAAAAATGAATCGTGAAACTGAACAAGCGGTAACCGCAGCCAGGAGAGCACTGCAATGCTCTCAAGGTCTCTCTTTAAAAACGAGGCAAAAAGATTTCTCAACGGGCCATTACGCACGGCCCTTTGTCAGAGGGCTCTTAACTGGTTATAAATATACGCAATTCATAGACATTCAACTGTTTTTACACGCTTTTATTTAACTCACTGTCTGTTGTTGTTGTCGTTGTATCCTCAAATCTTGTAACTCAATTTTTACCCATTTCCCAATGTGCTATCGACTGCAAACTTGGTATACTTATGTCATACTAATGACAGTATTATGTTCTATCATAAAAAATAAAAAACATATATTTTAAAACATTATTTTTACATGTTATGTTTCGGCTTGGCTCTAATTGTCCACGGTAAACTGACATTGGCTGTAAATTACCACGGTCCCTTATGTTATGGCAAGCTTCGGGGCCACTTCCTGGAGTCGTGGAGTTCTTCCATTACTAGTACGGTACATTTCATTAAAGCGTGTTTAATTAAAAGTTTTTAAAAAATATTACTTATTTTCTTGGTTCTTTCGGTAAAGTCACGTAGAAGGGAAGTAATAAAATAATAAAAATAAAACATAATAAAATAAAATAATTCTCATGACGTAGCCGAAACGTGGTGGAGGGCTTTGCGACAAAAAATGTGCCCGATCAATACGTGGCCTAACTCAAAAATGAAATCTGAGTAATATTTGGATAACGCTTATGGAGCGCCCAGAAGTACTACATTTTCATTGATGGATGTGAGCAAGCGCCTGCGCTAATAGTCGCACATTCTTGAGATGAGTTCCCGATAAATTTGTATTTTTTTTTTTACAGAAAAACATTAACATTTTTAGGGAGGATTTTCGTAGGATTCACATTACATAAAGCATGTGAAAGTGAAGTCGCCCAATGTGACGCGACCCCACTCTTGGTGGAAACTCAAGGACGTGACACAGTGTAAGTGACATCAATTCATGTGATGTCATATTTTGGGACCAATCCGAAACAACAACAAAAAATATCTCGGATCGTCCCAAATTTCATCCCGAGGTCCAATAAATATCCAAATTGCTTTGGCTTAATCCGAAAATCTGGAGCACAACCCTAACACATGTATCTTCCGTAGACATGATGATGATGATGATGCAGGATCACCTCTTGGGCGTAGCGAGGCTGAGCTTGATTGGTCGGTTGCCAAGCCCCGACGCTCCTTGCATCTCCACCAGCGCCCTTCTCTGCTCCGACTCCTCGCCAAAACGCACAAACCCGTATCCTCTGCCGCACCACGCCGCCATCACAGCACACACAACGTTGCACGCTTTGAGGCAAAACCGCATGCATGATCACAATAGTATATATATAACACAGCGATGACCATGATTATGTTGAAGCTACTAACAAGAAGAGTATGCATTTGCTTCAATGAGCTCAAAGGAAGCAGATGTGGCCATGCAATTAAACATCTGTGTATGATACAGTCTTTATTGCAGGTGACGGAAACGCCGACCATCAGTCTCAAAGGCTAAAGCCACGCGTTTTCACAGGACGACGTGTTTTCGCTGGAAGACCAGCGCGCGCTGTGGGGCGCTCACCTCGAGATGCCCGACAGGTCGGTGATCACCTTGCCGGACATGCACGACGGATATTTCTGCAGGAAGAAGTTGTACAGGTGGTGGTTCTCCACGTCCGCGGAGAGGTCACCCACGAAGATGGAAAACTCCGGGCTGGGGGTAGGACAGAGGATGGATAAGTAAATAAACAAACGACAGGAAGAGAAAACTAAACGCTAAAATGTACATCTCTTCGACACCCAGAAGCCCATTGGGTTTCAAAATAGATCACAAATAGATCTATGTGATCTCAAATGTGCAGCACGACAACCGGGAGATTAATTTTTTTCCAACTATGCCAGCCAACTGACCAATATGAACCACGGCCAAATGCCACAAAACAACAGAGCACACCAAACGTGATTCCACGTCCTTCGCATGTGTTCAAGACCCAACTTTTTATGGAATCTCTCGGAGAGTCGGTCGCGTAATAAAATAACCACGAATTAAATACCATTGGTACAATTTGATGAATGCGTTGTGAGCGTAAGAATTTGTTTGAATCAGCGGGTCAGATCCATCGCGACACGTGTCATGATTTACATGTGCGGCGAGAGTGTGTGAATCATCCGCACCTCTGACTCCTCTGTGGCCTTGGGTTGAAGACGACCCTAAACACAAGGAGACTGTTAGCAAATGGAGCCTGCTGGCCATTAAGACAAAACCTGCAATACTCCTCAAGAACAAAGTGATGTTCATTCAACCTTCATTTAAAAACCAGCCAAACAGCCCTGGTGAAACCAGAATAGGGGTCTCTTTTGTAAAGAAAACTAGAGGTTGCTCCCAATCTTCAGTTTAATTGGTCGGCCGCTCTTGATGGGAAAAAAGCAACATGCTGGCTTTGTATTCTTGCAGCTTACGTCAACACGAAGCAGGTGCCCAAAAGTTTTCCAGTAGTCCCTCAGTTAACGTTTTTTCATCCGTTACACGAAAACTACTGTTAACTAAAATAACTGTTAACCGAAGTCACTTATAAGTTGAAAAATAAGTAATAATCACCGAGTCTGCAAGAGAACTGTTTTCACTGCCAAAACAGAAAGCAGAATGTAAACAAAGCCAGTCGAGGTCTCAACGCTCATAAATGGTCATCGCTGATTGGCTAAGGCATGCTCAGCCCACTCACGACCCAAACATCGGCTCGTGTCGTCCCGTGCGGCACAGCCGGGCTTGCGACGACCGCGAGGCTTGGCGTGTATACGGGAGGGGAGCTTTATCGTGGTACAGCAGGCGCGCTTGCGATCCTTACCGTCCATCGGGTTGCTTGTTGTGTGTTGCGTAGTTGAGTTTAAACCTCCGTTGCTGAAATGCAAAGGAGAAAATGTTACGTGGCGCCACGCATCGTCCTTTGCAACTAGAAACAGCTCTTTGTAACTTTGCGTTTTGGACCACTGCAGACTCCGACCCCACGTCCCGGTATGCAGCTTAAGAACTACCTCATTGTCATTTGTTGCCCCCCTTAAACTTAATATAAAACATCAAAGTCATATTTTGCCCGTCAAGTCAAAGCATTTCCCTCCATTGGTGGCCCTGAGCCAGAGGTGAAAATTCCACATTATTATGGCTGGGACCAGTCTCTCCCTATGGGACGACCCCCCCCCTCCCCAACGCATCCCACAGAGCGGCACGTGCTGTGTCCAGCGTTGCAGGGAGGAGGCCGCTCTGCATGGAGCCGTTAGGGCGCGTGGAGCCACGTCATCCGCACTGACCGGGTTGGATCCGGGAAGCGCCTTCCCATTGAGCCTGTGCAGGCACCGCTCCGCGCTCGACTGGTCCGAGAACTCCACAAAGCAGTACCCAGCCGGGCCGCTGTGAACGCAAAACACACGGAGACGCAGATCGCCTGCTTGAGCCTGTGGACCATAAACTAAACGATGTTAATTTTAACAGGTAAGACCCACGGAGCTATATAGCTCTTTTTCAGAAGTGACCTGGCCACAAATGAAGGCTCAACAAAGTGGCTTATCACGTCGAAATTTATAGCAGCCAAATACTCTAAACGCGTGTTGATTCTTGGTTCTTTCGGTTAAGTCACGTAGAAGGGAAATAATAAAATAATAAAAATAAAACATAATAAAATACTTATTTCCCTTCTACGTGACTTTACCAAAAGAACCAAGAAGATGAATCCCTGCAGTCACGAAAGCTTTACATCGAAATTTGATTCTAAATGTGAAGGGAAAAACCGGAGGACCCAAAGAAACAACACATGACCATGGGGATAACATGCAAACTCCAAATATATCGGTGTCGGGATTGAACCCACGACCTCCTGAATAGCAGGCGAGGACACCCTGAGGTTAGAGCTATCCGATAATCTAAGTAATCAATTACTCTACCCATTTGCGGTTCAATCGCATTATTTTGTTATCTTAATCATTATTGTTATCACTATGCTTGTTCACTGAAGAAAGTCTCAGAGTCTCAAGACTCGGAAGGACTCCATTAGGTTATCAAAGTAGTTGCAATGTAAGTTGAACTTCCTTTGCGCCATATGCCAACAGTTCTAATTGGAGTTGCACGTGAAGGACAACAAACTAAACACAAAAAGCGTTCCAGGTGGCCGTAGAAGCGCATCTGGATGCGCGCGATGCATTAATCATCTTTGTTCGATGGCTATGTTCAGGTAATTTTTCAGCAGCATTTGGATGTTTTGTCCATTACCAGTAACAATATATATTTTTTAGCTATGGGATGACACTGGAATGCCCGGAGGAAACTCACTCAGAACAGTAGATCGTATGATCTCCATGCAGAAAGGCGCCCGAGTCGGGAACCAAACCGAGGAACTTCTCACTGTGAGGCATGAGCGTTACGTCCGGCCATGACTAATGGGATAATGCAAAATAGTTGCGTGGTGATGGGCAGGGCTTGGTCAGAATCAGACTATTTATTTATACTGGATGAATCCGATGAATTATAAAGTTCTCTTTCACAGAGCTGGTGATGTCATCATCGGAGCTTTGTGCGAGGTGGGGCAATTTGGAAAAAATCGATCAACTTCATTAAAGAATGGTGCCGGCATTAGCCAAGACACTGCTTTTGAATGACGTTCATCCATGGTTGGGAACTGAAACAGAGTCTACTAGAAAAGAGTGTAGTTTTCAAAAAGAGCAGACACTGCATAAGTTTAAGATTTGTTTTTTATTAGTTGAGAATTCAAGCGACCAGTATAGTCTCATTTACAATAGTTACTGGGGGCATTAGTCTACCAGCAGGGGGCAAAAATGGATGCTATGTATAATCCAAAAAGCGTAATTTGCGGGTCATTTTGAAAATGTGGACCCTGCCATCGGCACAGAATAGCCTACTCTTGCGAATGACATTGCGTGATCTTTAACATCCACTGCGAAGCGGATGTTGCACAGCATTATTGCTACAACCGCAGCAATAACCAGGGAGGCCGCCGCACTCGAACCGCACGCCTCTACAAGCGGCGAACGCGCTACCGCTGAGCCGAGTCACCTGCCCAGCAGTCCGCGGGCGGGAGGCTCACCCAGTGTGTTTGTTCCTGATGATCTTCACGGTGACCACACTCTCTCCCTGGGAGGCAAACGCGTTCAGCACAAACGTCTCGTCCATGTATGGGTCCAGCTGCGCACACAAACAGGAGCATGCGAAGCGTCGGTCTCGATGGGGGTCACGGGCACAAGGCCAGGAGGTCATCACGGCCAACGCCATTAGCGCCACCGCACTTCGTCGTCACTTCCTTTCAGACAGATCGTACGGCCGTTGCGCAATCGACACCCGACTGTCACATGTGCATCGTTCCCACCATGCTTTGGCAAAGTGGGAAAACACTGCAAGGCTGTATGGCCACTGGGCAGCGAACCAATCTATACAGATGTTTGGGCATTACCTCCTGGTACATGTGGATTTAGTTTGTGGATTCCTCGCACGTGCCAAAATATATATTTTTGACAAATAACCAACGAATGTAGTGCAACACGAATTTATGCAGCCAAAATGTTCCTGAAAAAGAGTCCCGAGTCACAGCCGAGGCTATTATTGGTTCTATCAAAATACATTCATTATTAATTTAATTTAGTAACAAATACGAGCTTTCTTGAGGTGTGCTTATGTCATGACCCCTTGGTCTATCTGCTATTAAGTGACGGATGCCTGCTACTCTACAGCACCAAAAAAACACGCTGAAGGTGGCGACTGGAATGTTTGTTAACACTTTTCCATGAAGGTAGCTGCTGATGACACAATGGCGCTGTACATTACACAGCTGTGTTTGAGTTCCTCTTTCAAGTCACTGGTTGCAGGGTGCCGCGCGTCCGTATCACAAACACTGGCAGAGATGTACACCTCATGCGTCGATGGCCTTGCCAATGCCCTCTTTGCTGCCATGCTGCTTCTTAAAAGGAAAATTCGACCCAAAATAATTCGTAATAATTATCATGCTTTTCATCGACACTGCCTTGTAAGACAATTGGATTGCACGCCGGTGTTTTGGGCAATGCCCCTTCTGCAGAGCGGAAAGAGGGTTGGAATAGACTGATTCTGTTGGTCATTATTTTGTTCCATAAAACTGGGAACGTTTAACAAAGTTGACACATTAACGGTTTTCAATTGCCGTCCGAGCAGATTTTTTAAAGGACAGACAAACAAACCCTTGACTTCCTTTGTCTGATACTCAATACCTACTCCTTAGAAACTGGGTCATTTTTCAAGTTTCTCAACACTTCCGGGTTTTTTAATGGTCCTTCAGCGTGAAATGCAAACTCAAACTACGTCGGTCATGCTCAATCCCCTCGCTGCTCTGAAGACGGGAGATCATCTGAAACATTGGCCGATTCTGTGTGTTTGACGCAAGGCAGTATTACTGACGTTTCACGGACTCTATTTACTTATCGATGGAGCCTGCGCACCATCGTCTCTCCGTTCTGCCCGGCACGAGTTTGAATCTTCGTGACTGACCCACATTCCGGATATCACTGCAGTGAAAAAAATTTAAGCGTACAGCTGTCTCGTCACAGCGCCATCACCGCAATGTGCCTTAAATCACTTGAAAGTGCCTTTCTTCTCGCCATTAATGAAGGGGTCGAGCGGCGGCGATATGATGAACCAGACGACCAGAATTAAATTTCTGGGCATGGCTAACATCAGTAGCAAGCGATATCAGAACCAGCAACGTACTATCCCCCCCCCCCGACCTCTGCCTACTTCAACCCACGACCCCCGTGGTGAAGTAAGGCAAAGAAACCGCCGTCAGTGTTAAGAATGGCTGGAAATTTTGGTTTGATCTCATGAACCGAAGAAACCTGTGATACACAGTCGAGGTACATATGTGCTACTTTGAAGCAGTTTTTTTTTGGTTTGCGGTTTCATTTTAATACTACAGTATGTGGGAAAGGTGGCTGGATTGCTCAAGGGCCTGATCGTAAGTCAGAGCCCGAAGATGGCACCGCCAAGATCCTGGGTTCAAATTGGGCTTTCAGCTGTGCGTAAATAAACTGGGTTCTTTCTAGTGAGCTCCAGCTTCTCCAGCAGTCTCCAAACGCTTCTCAGAATTAGCAGCAAATATCAGGACGTCAGCAATTACCAGCAAACCGCCAGGTTAACCAATAAGGAACCATCCCATGACCGCACCCTGACATTGATCAGCCTCCCATTGTATCTCTTCCAGATGGCCATTCCACTGGTACAGCCACAGAAGGGTTCCACAACAACTTCGTAAAAAGAGATGTTGAATAGTTTAGGCATCAGAAGGCATCCATGTTGCATAGCAAAGGGGAACAGGGAATGACTCCAGCTTTACCCAGGCCTGCCCACCATAATGAAGGTGCTTAATTATCATGGGCAGATTGTCAGCCACCCCCAAAAGCACAAATCCTGGCCTTTTGAGACATTGACTGGGTCAAGAAAGAAGGGGTGTAATTGTTCATAAATGACAAAGACCCCCCATGTAGACAAGTGACAATCGCACCTATAAATGTCGACATGGCACATGAGGAGGTGGGTGGGGAGCACAACGCCCGACCGTCTTTGTCTCTCCAATACTGATGTTCACACAACAACACAAGGCATTCGTCGAAGGATGAGTCGACCTAGGAGAAGCCCACACCCGGTTCGGACAATCACCACCAGTTTTATTGGTCGTGAGCAGGAGAGCGGCTCGGGTCACTTACGTCATAGCACAGCACCCGAACCCCTGCTCCAAAGCTCCCCAAATGTGTGTGTATATATACACTTACACAGAAGAAGCAGTGGTATAGTGGGTAAGGGCTCTGCATTATGAATCTGGTAACCTGAGTTTGATGCCCAGTCACAGCTAACATCCAGTAGAGGATGATCACTGAACCGGTCCTGGAACCCCAGGCTTGCCCCACCCATCCCCCCCTTCACAAACCCACACGGACCAACATGGTGTCAATCCAGCAGGGGATTGACAAAGTGCTGAAAATGAGTGTAATTATTATTAGACATATACACACACACATATATATGACTGTATTCGGGGATCAACTGTCAGTTTGATAATTTTTTTTACAGATTTTTGTTCAATCAACTTGCACTCCAAGAAGGCCGTGCAGATGACGGGCTGTAACATTTATTTTTTACGTGCAGCGACAAATATGGGAAGGAGGCTGTTCTCGACATTCACGTTCCCCACAATGACAAAGGCGGTCACCGCATCGCGCGCTTTCAGATGCGTTTCTGCGGCCGTCTGTGCAACGCTCTTCCTTCCGGTATTAGGAAGCCACTGGAGCTATGCACTTTTAAATCTAGATTTAAAACTATTTTCTTTAGAACTGCTTTGTCTGTGTAGTTTGTTGTCCTTCCCAAACACCTCAAATTAGCACGGTTGGTTACGTATGGCGTGAAAGAAGTTCAACATACATACATTCATACATACATACGACAATCAATGATTATTTTGTGTCGTTCGCGTTACTGTAAAAAGTAACCCATCGTCACAAAGTTTCCCCAATGTCACTTTAAAGAAGTCAGAGCGCCGATGCCCTGGGGGGCCAAAACCGCTTCTCTCTGTGCCATGGCATGTTGCCATTCGTTACGCTCCATTCACAACCGGGCGCCCCCCCCCTCACCAGAACGGTGAGCAGGGCGGGTGAGAGCAGGGCGGGTGAGAGCAGGGCGGGTGAGAGCAGGGCGGGTGAGAGCAGGGCGTCGTCGCCTTAAATCAGAATGAGCATTCCAACGATGCTCGCCCGCCCAGCCATTGTTTGCATGGGGGGGGGGGACTTGCACGTTCGCTCTGCTCAATAAAATCGGTTCATCGCGGTGTTAAGATCCAGGCGGGGTCTGCCTCGCCACTACTTTGGCCGAGAAGCCGAGGAGGGGGGGGGGGGTGGGCATCGGTTTGGCAGATGCCGCCGAGAGGCTTGGAACCACTTTTTACGATGAGCTCGTAGGTCAACGGGGGGTTGGTCAGTCGGTCGTCCCAACTGGGGTAGCAAATGCTACGAGTATCCACCGTTTGCAGAAAGCTTGGCATACATACATTATTTCTTGCTTGCTATTTTACCAGGTAAGGCCCACTGAGTTATTCGACTCTTTTTCAGAGGTGACTTGGCTATCACAAACGATAGCTCAACAAAGTGGCTTATCGCGTGGAAATGTATAGCAGCCAAATACTCTAAATGCATGTTTCTAAACATTGGAGAGAGAAAAACTGGAAGGACCCAGAGAAAAATCCACGCGACTACGGGGAGAATATGCAAACTCCAAGTATACAAGCATCAGGGTCGGGATCGAACTCATAACCTCCTGCATACCAGGCGAGGGAGTTAACATTTCACCATGGTGGCACTATTACGGCTGTTTCATATACATACTTTAAATTTGTTATATTACGTAAATAATTTTGTAACAGACGTATATTTCCAAAATAAAAATTATCTGTTGAACGTACCCTTTATTACCGACCACTTTACACAGCTACCACCGTGACCTTGCTATTGTACACATCTACGATCCAGAGATACAATGCTCCAAGAAAATGATTATTGGCATTATCCACCCAGGGTAATACTAATAAGGCATTTTGGGGCCAAAGGCTCAATAGCTAATCGACTGTGATTTCAGGAATGAGGGATCAAGCCACTGTGCTGTTTAAATGTAATGTTGAAGTTATTTCGCACCGTACGTAGCCAAACGGAGGTGCTGTGAAGGACTGAGAAAATGTGACCTGCAGATATTTCTTAGCTAGATCTGAAGCTGAATTAACAGGGCAGTGCTCATCTGTGACCCCAAGCCAGTGGTAAAACTGGAAAGTCCACATTCCTAAATCCAAAAACAGGTCTCAACAGCTACCTATTATTAGGCCATCGGATTAATCACAACCCACAGATTCCATGATTTTCTTTTTCATCATTCAGGGTCGCAAGTCGATCCTGTGCTCACTTGCATGAGTCTAAATTTAATGCGAGTATCTGGATATGCTAGAAAGTGCACAATCATTCTCAAATCCACACTATCACACGTGCATTGAATGCAAAACTGTAATTAATCGATGCATCACACTTCTTTATTTGTTGAAGCACCTCTTTATTCTAAAGTGAATGTCCTATGCAATTTGGTTCCCAACATAGGAATAGGAATATAACTGAGCAACGCCAAAGTTT